GAAGCAGTTCCTTAAAGGCCTTCGCAATATGCACTTGGCCTACATGCCTCCGATACTGCAATGGTCTCTTCAGTTGTCCTGTGGACATCTTTTGTCCATTTTTCGAACATTTGGCTTCTACCTCTTTGAGGCTACTTACCTTCAAGATGACTTTTCTCCTCGCTGTTACTTCAGCAAGACATGCAAGTGAACTCACAGCCTTGCGCATGGGCCCTCCCTTCATACAGTTTCCAGATGTCTCCTTTCTTCAAAAGGTGACAACAGCTTTCCACTTTAATCAGCTGGTGGTTCTTCCTACCTTTTTTCCTATTCCTGGGACTAATTTGGAAAAGTCACCTCACTCCCTAAATATCAAGAGAGGCCTGGCTTACTACATCTCCAGGACTGAGCCCTTTTGTTCCTCCCAAAGACTATTTGTGTCATTCCAAGGACACTCTAAACGTTCCCCTGTTTCACCCCAAACCTTTTCCAGGTGGGTGGTTGCAACAATCAAGCTGGCATATGAGATTGCTCACAAACCTTTGCCTTCCACTGTTCGAGCACACTCGACCAGAGCAGTTGCCTCCTCCACGGCTTTCCTCCACGGTTGACCTGGCTGATGTCTGCAAGGCTGCGACGTGGTCCACACCGTTCACCTTTGCAGCACGTTATCGCTTTGTTGTTTGGGCCAAGGCTGCCATGGGAAGAGCCGTGTTGGCTTCTCTCTTGTCGTGACGCCCACCTCCTGGTAAGTCAGCTTGCTAGTCACCCATTAGTGTGCATTTACAGAGACCACAATTGAGAAAGAGAAGTTACTTACCTGTAACTCTGGTTCTTCGAGTGGTACTCTGTGAATTCACACATCCCGCCCTCCTCCCTGCTGTATGTCTTGTATGCCTTTGGTATGCTATACAGCGGCAGACAGTTCTACTGGAGACGGAGAGGCCTAGGTGGGAGGTCCCAGCACCAGGTGCTTGAGAATTAGAAGTTTTCCAAGCTGCTCTGCTCAAGCGTAGATTAACCCATTAGTGCGAATTCACAGAGTACCACTCGAAGAACCAGAGTTGCAGATAAGTAACTTCTCTTTTTTCTGCATCCATACGATAGCTAGCCACTCTTTTTCAATAGTGGATAAATGTGTCTCACCAGGTTGGTGTTTCTTGCTTATGTAAGTCACTGGATGTAGACTTCTGTTGTTGTCTGTTTGGCACAGCACAGCTCCCAGTCCCATGTTTGACGCATCCGTGTAAATGATGAACTCGCAGTTGAAGTCCAGTGCAATAAGGACAGGTTTTGAAGTCGGCACCTTCAGACACTCGAAGGTTCCCTGGCACTCTGATGTTCAGCTTGCTTCTTTAGGGTTATGTTTGTTAACAGAGCAGCCATCTTAGTAAACCTCAGGACAAAACATCTATAATATCCAGCTAACCCAAGGAATGCTCGGATTTTCTTTTTAGAAGTCGGGGTGGGCCAAGTATCAATAGCTTCTATCTTTGTATCTAGGAGTTTGATCATCCCCCCCTCCGACTAGATACCCTAGGTTCCCTATTTCAGAGTTACCAATTTGACATTTAGCCACTTTCACTGTCAAACCAGCATCATGTAACTTTTGCAACACAACCTCTAGATGGGATTTATGTTCCTCCCAGGTCTGGCTAAAATACCAATGTCATCCATGTATTCTCCAATCGACTTAGGGTCCCTTTCTTTATAATCTTCCCAGTTCTGTTGTAACGAATCTAAAGGCCCTCTTACTTTACAACCAAACAAAAGTTCAAAAGGACTAAAACCTGCACTTTCTTGGGGAATATCTTAATAAGCATATAGCAGTGGTTGTAATTTATTATCCCAATCATTTGGGTTCTCTGCCACATACACAAGTATCATTCTCAATAATGTTCCATTAATTTTTTCCACTTACCCATTTGTTTGGGGGTGACAAGGAGACTATGTCACATGGGAAATTCCACAGACCTGCCATGGTCTCTTCTTTAGTTTGGAAGTAAAGGAAGTTCCTAAATCTGTTATTTCTGATGCAAAACTCATTCGACACATATAACTAACACATCCGTCACAGTTTCTATGTTTCTTATGGGTACTGCTCCTGGGTATCTGGTGGCAAAATCAATGATGGATAAAATATGCTTATTTCCTCATCTGCCTCCCCTGAGAGCAGGTTACCATGCAAACACTGCACATGCTTTGAGAGATCCAAACCAATCAAACAAGGAGCTGGGATTTAATCTGACACAGCTACTTTCCTTATAACAGACCACCCATGATAATTCAGTGCTGCTCTCACCATTGGCAATATTACAGAATCAGAACTTATTCCTTTAAGAGCGATCTCCTGTTCCAATATGTTCTCTCTGGGAATTATATCTGGGTTACAGTAATTTGAGAACATCAGTCTCTAATTTCTAAATTTTTTTCCCATTGATTAAAATCATTTCCCCAGAGCTTTCCAATAAATCTTGGTCACACAGAATTAAATAACACTGTAACACTCTGCCCTCAGAAAGCTCTGGGCTCTCTGTGAAGTCTGTTTCCTTAGCAACAGTGCAACCATTAGAAACCTCAACTTCAACTGCTAAAGGCTGAAGGCAAAATACAGTGGTGCCTCGCACAGCGAGGTTAATCCGTCCCGGATTAACCCTTGCTGTGTGAAACATCGCTGAGCGGTAAGAAAAAAGCCATTGGAATGCATTAAACTTAGTTTAATGCGTTCCAATCAGCTGATTTACTCACCGTTCAGCGAAGTTTTACAATGGCGGGCAGCCATTTTTGCGCCCTCCCCTCACTTAACGAGGGCGCGAAAATGCTGCGCGTGGCCATTTTGGCTGTTCCGGCTGCCATTTTGTTGTGGAACAGCTGATCAGCGGGTCGCAAAGCGAAGGTCGGTAAGCGGTTCGCTTACCGACCTTCGCTCTGCGATTTTCGCCCATTGAGGCCATCGCTCTGCGATCGCATTAGCAATCGAAAAAGCACCACTGTAGAGCAAATTCATCGCTCTACGGTGTGCACGTTCTGCGAGGCACCACTGTACTTTTTTAGGCTGCCTGAAATTTTCATTTTATGATTTTCACATTGGGACCAAAAATGTCCTCCTTTACCACAAGTGTAACATTGCTTGTTTGCCCTATGCTCAGAGTAAAGGGATTTATTAGTCCCCCCCCCCCGGGTTATTTGATCTCAGTAGACTTTGCTTGGAGAATGAAGGTTTCACTTTAGAATGGTTTTCCTTAACTTGAGTATTATTGAGGTAATTTTTACTGAAAGAGGATGGTTTTTCTCTCGTCTCAACCTTTTCTGACAATTTTTACCTCAGAGAACTGAGGATCTTTGATCGCACTAATAAAATCAGCATATTCAGATGCCTATTGCACAGTTTTAGGATCCTTGTCCTTGACAAGATAATGCAACTCTCCTGGTAAAATTGAATAAAATTGTTCTAACCTAAACACATTTTTCATTTGGCCCAAGGAGGTGTCATATTCTTGTTCTAACCACTTATTAAGATAGTGGGATAAACATGCCCCTAGTTGAGCAAAAGAAATTGATCAAAATTTTCTTGAGATGCTATGAGTTAATCCCAAATCTGGAATACACCATCTTTCTGTAACCTTAAAATCTCTAGCCTATGAATAGTTCTCAGATAAAACTCCTCTTATCTGTGACCTTAAAATTATCATCCTCTCATCATCTTTAACCCCGAAGTCCCAACAAGCTCTCTCAAAGGAAATCAAGAAAGATTCAGGACAGTCTCCTTTCCGATATTGGGCAAATTACTTTAAATTGAAATTTGAGGGATTTCCCACACTGGAATTATTAATATTTTAATTCCTGTTTCTTCTTCTCAATTTGGAACTACATTTCTCTTTGCCTTTCAAGTTCTCTGATTTTTTTTCTTTCCAATTCTCAAGGTTTTTCATAGCTAATGCCTTCAGTTTGAATTCCTCTTCTAGCTTCTATTTTTAAAATCTGGGGAGCTTTGAAAATTTTCTCATTCTGAGGTAATTATTACTGGTCCCTCAGTTTCTTCTTCACTTTGAATTTGAGGGTTCCCATTTCCCTCAGCACCCTGTAGCTCAACTTGTGCCTCCATGACCAAATTTTTATTTCATTTGGGTAGTATAAAATTTCTTATTAAATTGGACTGGTTCTGTTCCCTCAGAAGAGCCAAAAGGACCTCTTCTTGGGATTCCCAAGACCTGGGTTCAGGAACCCTGAAACTAAGTCTTCCAACAGACTCTAGCGGGTAACCACTTCTTATGCCACAGATTCTAACCCCCTTTCCCTCCAGACTCAAGAAAATTCAGTTTCACATTGGATTGTTTTGAATCCGACCGCTGTGCCATCAATTTGTCACATTCCTGCATGGCCTTTGGTCATTTCACCAAGCAATGGCGCACACTATGTGTCGTTCAGCTGCTACCAGTTGATTAATGACAGAGGTCCAGGCAGGATATTATTCAAGAACCAAGTCGAAGTTGTTTATTAAGTGATAAAAGTCCAGCCAGTGTCTTTAACTCTCAACTAAACAACCTTCTTTTTCCACTCTCAACCACCTACTCTCTCCCTCCCTCTCTCCTTTTCCCGCCCACTTAATTCTGCCCCCACCCACTCCTATTGGTGCATGCAAATTTCAACATAAATATTCATAACCAGGGTGAATGCTACACTCTTGCTCTGTATCATTACATTTGTTAGATATGACAAGTGTAATATGTAAGAGAAAGAAGTCCTATGCATGCTCAGTGGTTTAGGAATCTGACTGCAGAGCTGGAGTTTGATTCTTCACTGTTTCTCTTTGACAGGGGCTGGACTCAATAATCCATCTGGTTCCTTCCAGCTCTACAGTTTTAAAGTTGTTACCTTTTTTCTTTTGGTGTATCATTCCTGTTATGTTTAAATAGTTAAGCTGCCCAATCCATTGGTGAGAGATGTGAAAAAACTTAAGTAGAGGCTGTTACTGCTGCCAGCAATAAAATCTTGCTTTTTGTCTTTCACGTCTTGGGTAGAATGGGAAAAAATGTTCCTCCAAATCAGAGCAACACAACAGACAGAATTGAAAAGGTGAGGTTCTTTGTCCGTATATTTCCAGTTGTTGCCATTTAGCATCCCCTTCCCCTAATACTTACGTATGCACCCATTCTTTTTATGGTGCTTATCCCCCTCTTTCTGTCTTCTCCCTTTTCTCTATTACCCCAAGGTTCGCTGCCTGTGGACATCAATAACAGAAATACTCAGACTTCTGCAGAATGAAAGAGAAGTTGTAGATTCAGTTGTTAAAGGTCATGTTGACCAATATATATTGGACAGCAGGAATGTTGCTATCAGTGTTCCAAGGCCTCTACTTGAAAGAGTTGAAAAGGAAATGCATGAAGTAAGTTGTTCAGTAACCCCACTAGGAGTAGCATTTGATGTTTTCTGACGTATCACATTTGATTCAGTTGACTGATATTGTTGGAGTTATAGTTTGCAATGCAAGTGTGCAAGTGAATGTTTGACTGTCTGGGAAGGAAATCACCTGTGAGGCTAACACACTGAAAGCATAGCTACTTTTGCTTCCTTTCTGTCCTGCTTAATTAGCCCGCCCTTTTTGTTTGGCAAGCTTTAGATTAGTGGTTCTTAACCTTTGTTACTCTGATGTTTTTGAACTGCAACTCCCAGAAACCCCAGCCAGCACAGTTGGTGGTGAAGGCTTCTGGGAGTTGCAGTCCAAAACTGAGTAACCCAAGGTTAAGAACCAGTGCTTTAGATAATAAGTCCTTCCACGTGTTTCACTTTTCTGTATTTAAAGGGAATCCTTCTTGTCAGCCTCATGGCCTCTCTCTCCATCCTTACCCTTTCTCACTCACACACACGTAGATGTGCCTCCCTTGATTTGTCTACTTGACTAACTGCCAACACCAAAGCTGGTCTGCCTCCTACTCGTTATTTTTGTTCTCCCTTTTAGCCTAGCCTCTTAATTGTTTTTACTGTTGAATGTCCTTGCAGCAGTTGGCATATTTTGTCTCTTTGTCTTTTTTATTTTATGCTGAGCCCCTCCTCTGAGCTTTTTTCTAGCGGCCGTATGGAGGATTTTCACATAACAGTGAGTTTTTTGCCCATAGGAACACATTAAATGGGTTTTAATGCATTCTTATGGGCTTTTATTTCGCATAGCGACGAATCCGTATAGCGATGATTTTTGCTGCACGGATTATCATCGGTATGCGGGGCACCACTGTATTTTATTTCTAAGCAAGGCATATGAAGACGGGGGGAGTGTATGTATTTGGAAACTTACAAGTTTTGGCCAAGACCAAATTCCACAGTGAGACTGAATGCCTTTTTCCTTTTTTAAAATTCCTGGCTAGTTTTGGTGCTTAGCGCTTTGCAACTAAAGGAATTATTATAAATAGCCCCGTAATCTTAACAGATATTGACTTGTCCAACAGTTTTTTTGTTTAAATCTAAAAGTTAAAGACATTTTGAAAGAGGATGTTCACCTTTCTCTTGTGTTCTGGACTAATCTCCTAGAAAACCTTAGAGTGGAGTATTAGCTATAATTTTTTTAAACACTGAGAGGTAGTGCTGTATTAAAAGCAAACAATGTTTATATGAGGTAAGATACAGGATATTGCATGGAGAATTTCCCTTATCATCTTTAATGGTCAATGGTCCATAGTCAGGAAAGGTCGGCAAGTAAGTGAAAGCACCTTTCATTCCCAATTTTATTGCTAATAAAATGCCAGGTTTCTTAGTAACTGTCCCTATGATATGTCAGTGAGTGTATGCAATCCTGGCAGGAACCATTTTACAAGTGCTCAACTGAATGTGGTACAAGGAAATTGGATGAATCTGTGGATCAAAAGTAGTTGAGATGTGACTGGTAGGCCCAGGGTGTTTCTGTGCCCCCAACAACCTCATTTTTGTTGTTCTGGTTCAAAACATCTTATTCCTGCTAAGGGTTACAGAGATGTCTTTGCCAATTCTGAGGGCTCGCTCTCTCTCTGGTTAGTTGCCGAAAGGCAAATGCATCTTATGATATCTTATTCATGTACTGATCTCTTCTCTGTTGTTTTCAATATTTGAAGTTGTCTGTAGGGAATATATATGAAGAAGGCAAACTTAATATTTTAACAGTAATTCCGTTACTAAACAAAGCCTTGGAAATGTTGATGGTTGAGCGTCAGCACACTGATAAGAAGGCACTAAAATTGGATCTTCAGTATTTTGAAGCCAAGACCAAATTCCACAGTGAGACGTTACTGGGGCTAAATTCACTGAGGTGAGCTCAGAATTAGTCATGTCAATATTTTATTCTTTAGGCACAAGTTTCATCCAAATAAAGTGTGCTTGCAGGTTATACTTACTGGCTCAGTTCAGTAACCATTTTTGTCTGATTAAATGAAATTAATTGGACCAGAACTAAGTTCCCTTTTGCATGTATTTATTTAATTCTTTGTGGCTTAATTCGTTGAGGCTCACAGATCCTCGTGAACAGTGGTTCAACTAGTATTGCAGCCAAAACTCTGCTCATGCTCATGGTTTGATACTAATAGATCTAACAGCTAGCTCAAGGTTGACTTATCCTTCCAAGGTTGGTAAAATGAGTACCCAGCTCACTGGGGGGATATTGTCTGTATAATTTTTTTAAATTGTAAATCATCCAGAGAGTACTTTAAGCACCATGGGAGGGTATATAAGCAGCACACTTTCCTTATGGGGAGGTGTTTAACTACGGTGTCCCTATAACATTTGAAGTACTTTAGTTTTGGGTCACTCTTGATTTCTAGAGATTAATTGAACTAGTTTTCTGCTTCAGAAATCACTAGGAAACTGGTTTAAGAAACATTAGACTTGTGAACAGTACTAGAGAAGAGGAAACATGTAAATGCATATTATATGCTTAGTTTTATTGTTACATCTGAATGAGAACTACATGTTCTTCTCTGTGTGTTTTTTATGCTTGAATTCCATTTGAAATATGTTGATATTCACAGTGCTTTCAAGGGACATAACTAGAATCCCTTGTATAGTACATTGCTGTCATTAACTTATAGCTTGAATTCTTTTATAGTCTGTTAGTAATCAAACTGCCCATGACTTGAGGTATGTTTGCTAAAAATCTCATAAATGTATTTGAAAATTTGACCCAAACATGGTTGTCTTCTGTGTTTTTACAATTTGAGATTTTTGTGAAACATGGCATCTTGTGTATGTGTGGGGGTGGGTGTTTGTTTGGTTGCTTGCTTGAAGTTGTAGTTAGGGTACAGAGAGACAAGATCTCAAAAAAGCTACTATATATTCATTGCAAAATATAAACTTTTGAATTAACCGGAAGATGCTTTTTGTAAAATGCCAGTTTGCTTAAATAAAGCTATTGAACATATCATACCTCAATAAACGTGATGATTTGTTATGAATATTCATACAGGCAGAAATTAAAACTTGAGGATCATATATCAATAAGTCATTCAATTACTGAAAAACAACATGAATGGGATTTGAAGTGGAAAACCTGCCTTGGCCAGTCACCTTTTCATTTAATTAAAGATCCAAAACCTGTAAGTATTAGCAGCTGGTGGAAGGAAATTAAGATGTTTGTGCTGAACAAGAACAAATTTACATATCTTGGAGCCATGGTTTTCAGGATCTTGTCTTTGACACTATTAGAACCTATGGATGTGCCATTTTTATTTTTATTTTTTTGATTCCAGCTTTCAGAATTCTTAATTTTTGGGAGTTCCACCTGACAGCCCCACATTGACAGACACCTAAAATGTGCCTCATCTGGAGGGAGGCCTAGCTGGAAGGCTTCATGACCTAACTTCATAATGCAGCTTCCTGTTATTTATTTGATTTATATGCTGTGCCATTAGTGCATGAACTCCACTGGGTGGTTTACAAGTTAGAATGCAAAAATAGCACAAACCGCACATAACAATACATACAACAATACTTAAAAGCAAAATGTGATGCTTAAAGCACTTTCTGGGTGGTTTACAATTATGCAAAAGCAAAGAGAGAACAAGAAAGGAAAAAATAAAATATTAATATTAACAGCATCCAGGAGACTGTTGAAAGCAGCTTTGAATAGTTCTTTTTTCAGCAATTTCTTGAATGTAAGGAGGAGAGGAATTTGTCGTATCTCTGTTGGTAACCTGTTCCAGAGACTGGAGACCACCACCAAGAAAGCCCGATTCCTTATCTTAACCTTTCTGGCATCCCTCAGTGTGGCCATTTTAAGCAACATAGAGAGAAGGAGATAAATCGAGCATGGAATATAACAGGCAGCCAGTGAGGATTCACCAAGACTGGAGATATATGATCAAATTTATTAATCCCAGTAATCAATCTAGCCACTGCATTTTGGACCTGCTGAAGTAACCTTGTTTTCAAGGGAAGCCTGAACATTACAGTAAACTATTTTTGACATTACCAATGTGTGAACCACTGTTACTAGGCATTTCTTATCCAGGTAGGGCAGTCAACCAGAATTGGTAAAGGCACTCCTGGCCACGGATGATATTTGAGCTGTCATAGTATAACGTCCAAGAGTACTCCTGTAAGCAATCCCCCATCTCCAAGGAGATTAAGGGGAAGCCAGAGAAGGAGAGATTCCAGAAAATTAGTCAGTCCTTATGAGCTAAGACAAGCCCTAGATCTCAGCCAGGCTCTGCACTAATTTTCCTTCCTCAAGTCCATCCCCTTTGTTAAGTAAAAACAAGAAACACAGACAATCCATGAGTTCACACTCAGGCAAATCTGGGCTCTATATGGTAGCAAATACACATGGCCAATTTGATAGGTTAGTCTGTTCAAGAAACCAATGCATGCAATTCCAAAACTTTACTGCTTTATTAAGACATATGGTTCAGAAAAGAATTCAGATTATAGTAAAGCATTTCAGTTAGAAACATTTTCATATCAAGGCTGACAGATCACCCCCACCACTCCAGCTATAAAAATAAAACAAGAAATGCATTCTAAACTAAGATAATGCATAAGCGTAGTCATTCTTATGTATCCTGAGACTTCACAGTCCATAGTCCAACAGGTAAGGTAAAATCCAGTTGTAATCCATTAGTCCATGTTGGCAAAAAGGCTCCATTCAAAAGTTATAATCCATTTTGGGAAAAAGCACATGTCTGTCCTTTCTCAGTCAAACTCCATCTTTTTTCCAACTTCTACCAACTTCCTTCTTCTTCCCAGGATGCCTCATAAGGAACACCCCCTCCTGGGTCTTGTTGTCCCGCCTAACTTTCTCATGGGAGCTTGAGTTATCATGTTTTGTGGCAGAATTATTATGACTACCAGGAATGTAGCTCTCTGGCTCTCCTTAGCAACTAGATAACCAGAGAACGAAGCTTCTCTGAAACAGCATGTAAAATTGTCCTACCACAGACATTAAATCAAGATGGATGCTATTGGGACAATTTTAGGACTACATGTCCCATTCTAATACACATAAAAACACAAATCATCACAACTCCCAAGCTGTCAACCCAGTCCTTCAGGGGGAGTGTAGTCTCCTCAAGGCCAGGTAAATATCCCTTTAACTGGGAAATGAATCAAAACTATTTTTCTTCCAAGAATGGCTGCAACTGATAAGCCACCACCCTCTCAGTTAACTTGCCCCCAAATGGGAGATTTGAGACAGATCTATAGTTGTTCAAATCATACATCACTAAATTAGTTTTCTTAAGAATGGGCTTTATTATAGTTCTTTTTTAACAAGAAGGAAGGTCCATGGCCTTCCTGAAAAGAGGCATTGATGATGTGAGGCCCATTCTACTTTAGTATGCATTGGCAAGGATCTGTTAAAAAAAAGTTCTCTGACAGCTTCCTTTTTTAACAGGAAGTTAGACCATAAAGACTTTGCGGTAGGCGTTTTTCCAGGTGAGTCACATTTAGGTATCTGTGGGTCTGTCAGGCAAAGTCCTAATAAATTGAATATTTTTGTATTTATTGCTGTGCATTTAAATTATTTTAAACACTAAGATTATAACTGCTTAATTTTGAAATGCTGTAAAAGTAACATTTCTTAATCTTTTGATAGTTAAGAATAGAGGTATTATTCTTAGACTTGAAAATGGAGTAGTTTTGAAATTGCATACTTTGCATAAATCTAAATGTTTGAATTTTTAAAAATTCTTAAACATCACTTGATTTCTGTTTTCTTCAAGGCACTCAACTTACTACCAGCTATGTCTCTCCTTTCTTTTACTCCTGCCACGGAAGAAGCTTATAAAAGCAGTATCTTTTGCCAGTATCCTGCATCTATTTCAGGTAACTAAAACCTTCATTTATCCCTGCCTCCTTACCCTTTGAGGCTATCAGCAGTATCAGCAGGCTTGGATCAGTATGATTTCATGAGCTATGGCAATGCAGATAAACCATTAATTAGAAAGTATCTTATTCAATAGCCACCTCTCAAAAATGGGAATCTGTGAAGCACTGACTGACATATGACTTGTGTTTCTTCAGAAGGACCTATCTATAAATAACATGCAGTGGACCCTCTACTTACGGAATTAATCCGTATTGGAACGGTGGCTGCAGGTCGAAAAGTCTGCAGGTCGAGTCTCCATTGACTTACAATGCATTGAAAACTGATTAATCCCGTAACCGGCCGTTTTTGTTCCATTTTGTTTTTTTTCTGGTCTGTAGGTCGATTCTCTGGCTGCAAGTCAAACTTAAATTTTGCGGCCAGAGAAGTCTGTAACTCGAAAAGTCTGTAAGTTGAGGGTCCACTGTATAGTGGATGCTTTGGAACCTAACTAAGCAATGCTTTGTCTTAGCAGGTTCGGCATCCTAGCCGGGGGAAAGCAATTATAAGTCTATGCTTATAAGTTAAAGGAAGGAAATTGTGCAGCTTTTCAACCATGTGCAGCTTCAGGAGACCTCTGTGAAGTCTGCTTCCAATGGTTGTCCATTGCTGGAGAGCTGACTGGAATGCATAAAAAGGAGTATTGTGTCTGCAAGGGGTGCATTTTTCTTTTTAATGGCAAATTAGCCCATCAACTTGAAATGCTGAACAAACTGTATGGCGTTCAAGGTTGTATATGTTTCCTATCCAAAAAACTGAAAGTTGTCTGCTTGTTTTCTATTAGTATAAACCAAGAGTATTGGCATTTCACTTAGCTATTTCTTTACACTAAAGGCCACATAATGGTTTTGATATGAGCTTTGATAGTGTTAAGGCAACCATGGTTTCATATCAGTGAACTTAAATGCTTGATGGTGCATGTGTCAACTAGACTTAATCTTTGATGATTTAATAAAATTTTGACCATTCCAATATTAGAGCTGTTCTGCTCCCAGGAGCTGATAGACCAAAGTTGTCCTTTGTTTCTCTTTTATTTTCATATGCCAAACTCAAAATGGTGTGTTTCCCCTTGCTAGAGATATCATGTATTTTCACAGTTCGGTAGGTGATTGGTTAAGGCTTTATCCATACAGTTTAATTGAGTGAATATTCTTTACTATCCATAGCCAGAAATAGACATGGGGAAGAATAAAAAAAACAAATTGCAATATTTGTTAAAAATCACTGATTTGTTAAATATTCATCCCTTCATACTTGTGAGTTCAGGGACCCCGACAAATATGAAAGGATGAATATTTGTCCTTTTTTATTCATCCCCCAAACAAAGAGAGAGAAGGCTAGCCGCCTCTCTCTTCCTATCGCTTTCCCATAGGAAGCCTAGGGCTTTAATCAACTGATTGAAGGGCTGATAGGCAGCCAGCCAGACCACAGCCACCTACCCCCACAGCCTATCCCTCACCCCCTTCCCCTCCCTACCTTAGCCGCTGCCACCATCTGCCACTGCCGAGCGCCGCTGTCCCCCATTCCAGCTTGCTGCGGTGGCCTCCACAGCCATGGCCTGCTGTAAGGTACACTGGCTGCCCTTTGCAAAGACGGCACCTGTGACGTCTTTTAGGGCAGGGAAGCTGCAGCCACCATCTTTGCAAAGGACAGCCTGGCAGGTTAAGGGAACTCAGGCAGCCCTTTGCAAAGATGGCAGCTGCAGCTTCCCTGTCCTAAAAGAACTTGCAACCACCATCTTTGCAAAGGGTAGCCAGTGTCCCTTATGGCAGGCTGTGATTATGGAGGCCACTGTAGCGGGTGGCGGTGGATGGAGACTGCAGAGGCCGCCATGGCACAGGCTGCTGTGGACTGCAGCAGCCAAGGTAGGGAGGTGGCAGGATGAGGGGGGGGAGGTCAGCTTTTTTTTTAAGACAGCCTGTGGCTGTCAAAAAAAACCTGGTGAACCAATGAATCGATTTGTGCTTTGGGAGGAGCTTCATGCTTCGTCATCTCATCAGTAACTTTCTTTAGGAGTAATGGAAGTTATCTGTCTATCTGTACAGGACATTTTAGTTCTTGAGCCATGTTTTGTTGCAGAGTGTACAGAGGACATACTGAAAATGTATACAGATTATATTATTGTGCACAATTCTTCAGGTGACTGTGTCCCCACATTTTAACCACTTTCTATGCAAAAAAAATTTAAATACAGAAAAAGGCTGCAACGAAAGTAACACTAGCAAACCTATTGTTATTTGACATTGGCATATTTTTATCCCAATCAATAAATGTTTTGAGAAAAAAAGGTCAAAATACCTTCTGTGGTGTTGTTTTCAGTAAACTGTGATTCTGAAGGTGTAAGTGACATATTTTGGTTGTCAATAAGTTGTGCCAGTTCAGAGGCCATTGGATTTCTCAATGGCTTTAGGAAATTTTAGGCATTTAATTGTAACTTAAACTGCCACCCTAACACTACTGTTCACTATCAATAAATTGTAATTCCCAAGCGAAAATATCTCAGAGTTAACATAATGCAATCATTTTTATCTGTGTGGATAAGTATTATTTATCTAATTTGTATTACATACTGCCCCATTAGTGATGTCACTCTCTGGGTAATTCACAATTAAACATGAGGGGAAAATGTGTTTTTACTTTAAATGTCCATTTTTTTCTGGGAAATAGTTTTTCCCCCTCGGCGGTGGCTCCTCGCCTCTGGAATAATCTTCCCCCTGACATTCGCGCGGCTCCCTCACTGGGTACCTTCAAAAAACAACTAAAAACATTGATGTATCGGCAGGCCTTCCCCTTTGTCAGTTCCTGATTTCCCGTTCTTTCTACTCCCTAGTTCTCTCCTAATTTGTTGCAACTTTTCTTTTGTAAAATTGTTTTTAATTCATATTGTTGTTGCTCTATTGTTGTAAGCCGCCTAGAGTAATCTTAATTGATTAGATAGGCGGGATAGAAATCAAATAAATAAATAAATAAATTCTTGAAAAAAAAGTGGAAATTTCTAGGAAAAACGGGGGAAATGGAATTTTTTGGAAATTTTACATCTCTACCCTGCAGCAGCACGGGTGCTAGGGAGGGTTAGTTTGTACCAAAGGCTAGAGTGGCGCACCAATTCCAGCAGAGCCCGGCTAGTCTTTCCCTGCCCCCCACAGAGTTCCTAGCTAAAACTACCTTTAAATAAAAAATACATAAACCAAAACCCATTTGAACATCTCAGAACATTATTCACACAAGTAGAAGACAGTTTAATATAATTTGGTTTTATTTAGCTTCCTAAAAACAGATGGATGGTGCCTGGTGAAACTCTGTAGATAGCTTATCCCAGAGAAAAATAGTCACGGCCAAGAAAGCTCAGTTGATAGAGTTGGATTTTTTGGCTTCCTTGTGTATCACCACTCTTAACATCAAGGGCTGTAAAGAGCATGTGGGCCGGATAGCTATTTTTGTGGGAGAGATGTTCTGCCAAACTGCCTAAACTCTTAATGTATTTTATTAAATTGAGCACAGAAACCAGCAAGGAGCCAAGGTAGCCATGCCAGCATTGAAGATGTGTTCATATATGCTTATACCTATAATTGGAATGGTTACCACATTTTGGACCTGCTGAACTTTCTGTACTGATTTCAAGGGCAGCCCTACATAGAGTAGTCTGTTTTAGAGATTTCATGAACTACTATCCAAGTAAGACTACAGCTGGGCAATCCTACTCGGATAAGTAGGTTGAAGGACTCAAGGGATGGACAGCAGCTCCCAAACGGTACGTCTGAGATCTGCCCTTGAGGAAAGACTGGAATCACTCAGAAACAGAGCCTCCAAGTCCCTATCTCAATAACCATCCAAACTTGATAGGCATCACAGAATGTTATAAAAGAGTATAAAAGGCTGCAGAACGATCCAGGAACATTCAGCGCAACCCTGTTGTTCCTTTGTCTGCCTTCCTCGGGAGAGCATCTTGCAGGACTGTTTCAGTCCCATGGTGTGGTCTGAACACCGATTGAAATAAATCTAGACTACCCATTTCCTCCAAGAACACCTGCAGTTACCGTATTTTTCTGTGTAAAATATGATACTTTTTCCTAAAATCATAGTAGGGAAAATTGAGGGTTGTCTTTTACGAGGAAGTAAGCTGAGTACATACATATAAACTTTATTGTTTCTGGCCATAGACCTTTACAATATTGTTTCTACTGTAGCATATAAAATCCAAATAAAGCAGGTAATCACCTTAAAACCATTAAAACCATTAATTACCTTAAAACTATTAGAACCATTAGAACCAATAAACCCATTAAAACCCAGTCTAAAAATATTGTCATAATGTAAAACGTCAATTCACTGTATACAGCAGTGGTCCCCAACCTTTTTAATGCCAGGGACCGGTTTTGTTGAAGGCCATTCTTCCAAGGACCGGGGTGGCCATGGGGCTGCTGCCGCTGGCATTTGAGAATGGGGATGTGGGGGAGAGTCTGTGCGTGGGGGTACTTGTTATGCAGTAGGTTGTTGGAGGATAGCTATGAATCAAACACATTACATGTATTGTGACCTTTGTCCCCACGCCCCCACCCCAGAATAAAGAGGCAAGACACAGGTGTTGGATTAATTAGGGCCACACTTTATTAACTTTAATTCTTGTTGTTCCCAAGCAGGGGGGCCTATAGTAAAAAAAAATGCCAAAATAAAAATACGTAAACAGAGCAAGTCCCATGCTGGGACTGCCAAAAAAAACCCCACCAAAAAACAAAACAACACTGACCTTTAGTCCCGCCCCCCCAACAAAACAAAAGCCACCCAAAACTTCTATTAAAAGCAGTACCTTACCGGTGCCAAGCCTCCTCAGCCCCCTGGGGACCACCTTTTCTCCCCTGCTTTTTGAAGGGGAGGAGAAGGAACTGACCCTCCAATGTGTGCCAGCATGCAGGTGTGCTCCACTCCCCCTTCCCTGCCAGCCTGCAGCCATTGAGGCGTACCTTCCTCCATGTCCAAACAAATCCCTGCACAGTTCCAGAGTGGGGATGGGGTGGGAGTCCTTTTCCAGGGGTGGCTGGGTCTCCTCCTCCTCCTGCCCCCCTCAGCCCATCCCATCACCCTCTTAATGGGGGGGCAGGAGGAGGAGGGAGGGCTAATTAAGACCTGGTGGCTTGTGCCAGGCATGCCTGGTGTAGCTTGTTGGCTGCTGCCAGAGGCAACCGGGATGCCCAGCCCACGTTTCCATGCTTGGCCCAGGGAGCTTTTAAATCCAGAGCATGGATCCTGCCTTGCACCACCTCAGGAGTAGTAGTAGCAGTAGGGGTGGAGGGGGTGGCAGTGTTGTGCCTGAGGAGCTGTCACCGCCACACACTCCACAGCAGTGGGGATGCCCTGCTGAGCTGCCCCTTGGCCACCTGCCCTGTCTGCCCGGGTGGCCTCTTGCCCGGCCAAGGTCCCGAGTGGCCAGCGCTATCAGCCTTCAGCCACCTCCAAGCTCTGAAAGGGGGCCTTGCTGCCATTGCCGCCCCTCCCTACCCAAGCTGGGCTTTCTCCCAGAAGGGCCCACATGGTGCGGCCTGCGGGCGGAAGGGCCGCCCGGGGAGAGCAGAGGGGAGGTGACGGCGCAGAATGGGAGGCAGGCACAAGATTGGGCCTGACACACGGGGTTTCCCCCTCGCCTCCTCTTCCTGCTCCGCCAGGGATCCCAGGCAATGGGGCAGGGTTCACCTGGCTGCTCTTCCTCTTCCCAGGGATGCTGAGGATGGAGCTGCCTCCAAGCTCGAAAGGTGGGGCCCTGCTGCAGCTGCCGCCTCTCTATGTCCTAGCCCGGCTCTCTCCCGGAAGGGCCGGCATGGTGCGGCCTGTGGGTGGAAGGACTGCCCGGGGAGAGTGACGCAGACAGGTGATGCAGACTGAATGGGAGGCGGCCGCAGGGTCGGGCTGGCATGCAGGGATTCCCCCTCGCCTCCTCTTCCTGCTCTGCCAGGGGACCCAGAGCAATGGGCCAGGGGTACACCGGGTTCCTCTTCCCAGGGATGGTGACACGGGGGGGACCCAAGGATGGGGCTTATCTCCACCTTCTGCACCTGTGTCACTCGCTTGCCCATCCATCCGCCCATCGGTCCTTCCTTTCTTCCTTCTTCGGGGCAGTGGTGGCCCAGTCTCACTTCGGCATGGGTGGGTGGCCATGCCAACACCACAAGTGTGGGAGTGAGGCTCCGACGGGAGGCCCCAGAAGTTCTGCAGACGAGCAGCAGTGTCCCATGTGATCTGGCCTGGCCCACCTCTTCCTGGGAAGGATTGGCCAGGCAGGAAGCAGTAGGATCACTGGCGCGTGCTCCTGCCCATCCGCTTGCCCTGTGTGGGGCGGCACTGAGCCCCATGGCCAGCCATCAGCACTTCCCATGCGGGCTGCCCCACAAGGGGCATTGGGGAAACAGTTACCACGAGCAAGTGAGACACTCCCACCTACAAGCGTGACACACACGCCCTGAGCAGGGGGGGCAGAGATCCATGTCCGCGACCCAGTTCCAGCCAACCCACGGACCGGCAGTGGGTTGGGGACCGGGGGTTGATGACCCCTGGTATACAGCATTTATGTGGCATTATGATCCCTGACAAATCGAAGCCTCAGCTTCTTAGCTGCTAATGCAAATTGTGTTACAGCATATGTAATGTACAACTGTGCATCAGCAAGCAATCCTACTACTCTTTCAGTGGTATTACAGTTAAAATACATCTGAATGATGGGTGACAGAAATCTTTCTCTAGGATTTTTATAGAGAAGACAGAACAGTAGATAATGAGTTAGGTCCTCAATCTGGTTGCAGCCGAAGACACATTTTCGTTCCTCGACTGGGATTCCTTTATATCTCCCTTTGAGGTATGCTGAGGTCATCTGTCCACATCTAAGTTCTGTGAAAGCTCTGCGAATCTGGGGAAAAGTCAATGACTCAAAATATTTTGGTTTTGCATGATTCACCTGAAGTTGAGGGTACCAGGTAGAAAAACGGGACCCAACAATAGCTGCCCTATCTTGGCTAGCATCAAGATCAAAGATCCAGTTCCTAAGGTCGCGAGAGCTTAAACTAAGGAACTTTTCCATCAAAAGGTTGTGGACCTTTAATTTTTGGTGACATTGTTGTGCCCATCCACCAGACTTTAGTTGTTCTAACCAACAGCACTTTGTCAGGGAGGAGTCCTCCAAACTGTTCAGTCTATGCCAATATCTAAGATAAGCCAGATCAATTCTAGCGGCAATTGAGGGTAGGCCTAACTCAGCTCTGAGGTGAGCTGAGGGAGTTCCTGGGGGGAGACCCAGTAAGCTGAGTAGCAAACTCCCCTCCGTTTCTGCTGCTGCTTCACGGATCTGGAAGCAGCTGGCGCTGTTCCTCCTCACCTGCAGGCAGGCCCAGAGTGGGGTGTGGAGGCATCCCCATGCTGGAATTCACCCCCTCCATTTCTGCTGCTTCTGCTGCTGTTTCTGCCATCACCACCTGCTGGGTTGGGGTTTTGTGGTTTGTTAGTTTTTTCAATTTGGGCACTCGGGCTCAGCCACCACTAGTGTAAGCACAATCACTGAGCCCATAAATACATCAGAAAATAACATTTTTAAAAAGCAACTGTCTTACTCTGCAAAATTCAAATTAAATGTAATCAGTTATGCAAAAAAGCATGGAAATAAAGCTGTAGTGAGACAGTTTGGACCTCCTCCCACTGAGTGTATGATCAGACTGGAGAAAACAGGAGGAACAACTCCTTAAGATGCCAAAAAAGGAAAAAGCCTTAAGAGGAAAATCAGCAAAATGGGCAAACTTGGAGCAGAGGCTCAAGACTTGGATTTTGGAGCAGCACCAGAGGGGGATATGCGTATCAACCAAGCTTATTCAACATCAGGCAAGAATGTTTGCAAGTAAAATGAAGATTGTTGATTTTACAGTGGTGCCTTGCTAGACAGTTACTTCGCATGGCAGTTTTTTTGCTAGACATTGACTTTTTGCGATCGCTATAGCGATTCGCAAAACAGTGATTCCTATGGGGGAATTTCGCTGGACAATGTTTGGTCCCTGCTTAGCAAACCAATTTTTGGTAGACAACAATTTTGACAGTTCTCTCCGCGCTCGCAAAACGGTTGTTTTCGGGACCTAAGCTTTGCAAGATAGCTATTTAAACAACTGATCAGCGGTTCACAAAGCGGCTTTCCTATAGCCGATCTTCGCGAGACAATGACTATTCTTCCCTATTGGAACGCATTAAACAGGTTTCAGTGCATTCTAATAGGGAAATGCTTTTCGCTAGACAATGATTTCGCTAAACAGCTATTTCAGTGGAACGGATTATCGTTTAGCGAGGCACCACTGTACAGGAAAGGCAAAATGGTACTTCAGTTTCAGAAGGAGAGAAGTGTTGGCCATGAGACCACAAAGTTAGCACAGAAAATGCCACTCCCAGAAATCCCGGGCAGCAGAGGTGGTGGTGAAGGCTTCTGGGAGTTGTAGTCCAAGAACATCTGGAGGCCCAAGGTTGGGGACCACTGCTATATTGGATTTCTTTGGAATAGGCCCATATAGTGGGTTCCTTTAGATGGGAGGGTAAATAATCCTCTTGTATGGATGCATTAATGAAGTGAGTAGCTCATTCAATGGTAATTTCCTGTCCTGATTTAAAAAGTCACAATTGGCAAATATCTAAAGAGTATGCAGCGTTTTGCAGCATGCAAGTGTCTTGTTCACATCCTCAGATAGTACTAACCGAAACTAGGGAACTAAATTGTGATTCATGCTCTCACTCTGTCTCATCTGCCTTTTCTTTTAATGCATTTTAGACTTGTTGAAAAAGAATCTTCAGACAAACGCATTTGAGAGAGCTGGTAGAGCACCCAAAAGCCAAGAAGATTCAACTGTGGTAACTACAAAGAGGTATGAACTTACTATGCTGCTTATATTGCAAGGTCGAGAAGGTATGGACGTATACATGTGACCTTGCCTTGAAAAATGGAGGAAGCATGCATTGGGCACAAAGGAGAGATGGTTCTGCTTTTAGATTCTCCTGTTAAGATTCCCATCTGCAGGTTCATTTAATGGAAATGGAAGCATTAACCCAACAATTAATTAGGCGGTGCCTTCCACATCTACAATTTTTACAGTTTTCTTGAATCCAGAAGTTCCCAGTTCTAGTGGAGACAGCAGCAGCAGACATATATCTTGCTTGGCTTTGTCTGTAGTGAGAAGCTGACCACAAGAAGGAATTCTCCTTTTAGACTCAAGAAACATCTGTGGAAAATACAATTCTGTCACCAGACTAAGCCCTGTATAGAATTCTCTGAAATTAATCTTGAAGACTTTTGAATGGCACATTCTGTTGACCATACACAGATCACTATTGAGACAGCAATGCATGTGACTTTATCTTCTTCACTAAGTCCCAAATCTCAGTGTTAGTTATATCTGTTTTTTGGCAATTTTAAATATCCTATTTTAAAATTGTTTCAACAGGTTGGATGCCTTCTGTATGTACATACCCTGCTTCACATTCTTGCAGCTGGGAGGCTGATACCCAATTAGAGGAAATTTTCTCTAGTTGGCACATACTCTCCCTATAATAAAATTGCCTTCTGATGACCGGAGTGAGTTGAGGGAAATCATAACGGACAGATACGGGGCATACAGCTTTTAGTGTCTTAATTAAAAAGTGCATTATCTGCATCAGGATATATGTAGCAATATTTCCTGGTTTGTTTGTTTGTTTTACGTAGAATTGTCCTGTCTGCTAATCCTGCTAGAGAAGCAGAAAACAAGAAGCATTCTGAAAAGGTAACCAGTCAGTAGTTTATGTATATGTATATTTATAATGTACTTAGAGAAAAGTTGGTGTGTATAAAATCGAGGAGTAATCTGTCAGAATTTGCTTCAGTTTTATTTCACTCTGCTTATGGGTGAATTGATTTTATTAGAAGAGAAAATCTAGGCGCAAGAAGTAATGCTGTTGGGGTTTTTTTTCCAGTCAGTTCATGTGCAATGTGTGCAAAGATTATTCAGTGACTGAAATCAAGTCAGCACAACTGCACTGAGTAAATAATGCTGATACCATCATCTAATGTTGGAAATTTTAATTTATTTAAATTATAGGAAGCTTTCAATTCAATTAAATCAGAATGGATTTGATTTAAATCAAATTGCTCTAAATAAACAAATTGGATTTCTTTTAGGATTTAAATTTTAAAAATTGATTTTTTAAAATTTGTGATTTAAATCAATTTGATTTTTTAAAAGCATTGATTTTTGTCCACCTTAAATTTAATTAAATACTGTATTACCATCATGGCTGATGATAACATCCTGCTTGGACAGCAGAAAGATATGCCAATAGGATTTCAGCTATAGATGATTTTCTGTACAGAGTTAAGATCACAATTTTACTTGCCTTCCCTAGTTTTGTTTTGGATGTTCTTGGATAGTCCTCTGTATTAGACATATTTTCCCATTTTCTTCTGCATTCCATTATATCTAGTCACTTCTTTTTGTCATCTAAATTTTTACTTCTTCTTCGTGGCCTCTGTGAATACACACATATGGGTTTAGTCTGCGCCTGCGCTGACATTCTCGGAGCATTCCAGAGCTAAAAGTAACAATTTTATGGTGTGATCCCCCATGAGGCACAAGCTCCTCCCACCCAAGATTCCCCTCAGTTCCTTTTTTCCGCCGTGCTGTAAAGTTCTACAGAGCATAGAGCTATTTCCACAGGGGTTTTTTCCCTTAGCTTATTGATCAATTCCCTCTAAATTGGATTCTTTCCCTTCTCAATTATCTAATCTATGATCCCCCGTGAGTTGTTTTCTTTTTTGCTTGCCAGCTACTTGGCTTACCCCCCTCCCCCACACACACACTTCAACTGTTTGCTTCTTTCTCCTTTCCCGCCTTTTTCGGCCTACTCATTTTGACTCTCAGGCACATTAATGATTTTCTGCCTGAGTAAGCTACATCTTACCCAGATAGGTGCAGGCCGCAGTAGGGAACCCGACAATACCAAGGAGTCCTTAAAATCTAAGTCTACATCAACAGAGGAATCCTCGCCAGAGGCTAGCAAATTTGCCTCTGAGGAGACGACGTGCCAGCTCTACCTGCACAGACTCCGGGATCGTCTGATAGCCTCTGCTCCAA